TGATTGATTGATTGATTGATTGATTGATTGATTGATTGATTGATTGATTGATTGATGATGATGATGATGATGATGATGATGATGATGATGCTGATGCTGATTCTGATGATGATGGTGGTGGTGATGCTGCTGCTGATGAATCTGTCTGATGGTGGTAATGCTAGTGATGTATGTGATGGTTTGGTGATGGTAATATTACGGGCGATGGCGATTACAATGACGGTGAGAATGATGCTGCTGCTGATGATGCTGCTGCTGATGATTCTGATTATGATGATGCTGCTGCTATTGATGATGGTGATGCGGATGACGATGCTGATGATGAGGATGATGATGATGATGCTGATGTTGATGATGACACCGGTGATACTGATGCTGCTGCTGATGATGCTGATGATTGATTGATTGGCTGATTTATTGATTGTATGTTTGGCTGATGGATAAATTGATTGATTAATTGATTGATTGATTGATTGATGATGATGATGATTCTGATGATGATGGTGGTGGTGATGCTGCTGCTGATGAATATGGCTGATGGTGATGTATGTGAGGGGTTGGTTATGGTAATATTACGGGCGATGGCGATGACGATGACGGTGAGAATGATGATGGTGACGATGATGATGCTGCTGCTGATGATGATTCTGATTATGATGATGCTGCTGCTGATGATGATGATGATGATGGTGATGCGGATGACGATGCTGATGATGAGGATGATGATGATGCTGATGTTGATGATGACACCGGTGATACTGATGCTGCTGCTGATGATGCTGATGATTGATTGATTGGCTGATTTATTGATTGTATGTTTGGCTGATGGATAAATTGATTGATTGATTGATTGATTGATTGATTGATTGATTGATGATGATGATTATGATGATGATGGTGGTGGTGATGCTGCTGATGAATATGGCTGACGTGGTAATGCTAGTGATGTATGTGAAGGGTTGGTGATGGTAATATTGAGGGCGATGGCGATGACGATGACGGTGAGAATGATGATGGTGACGATGATGATGCTGCTGCTGCTGATGATGAAGTTGATGATGATGCTGCTGATGATGATGCTGATGATGATGATGCTGTTAATGTTGCTGCTGCTGATGATGCTGCTGATGCTGATGATGATGATGCTGCTGATGATGATGACGATGCTGATAATGATGATGACGACGACAATGCTGATGATGAGGATGATGATGGTGGTGATGATGACGATGCTGATGTTGAAGATGTTGAAGATGATGATGAGGATGATGATGATGATGATGATGATGATGATGATGATGGTGGTGGTGGTGGTGGTGGTGGTGGTGGTGCAGCCTCCGCCCGCTTGAGCAATTCCAGGGGCACTGGCGGGGGCGACCCAGTTGCAGACATGTGCCATGTGCGTCGATGACAGCCGCTGGTGCAGGGAGCAATGACGGGCGTGGCGAGGCCGAGATGGTGCCGTCGCGCATCCTGAGGCTGATTGGCTTGATCCCGCTCTTCGCCTCCACGTCGGTGAGGCTGGCGTAGCTGGCGCTAGCAACCAGGATGACGGACGCGCTCCTGCTGGCGGGCACGACGGTGGCACATCGGCAGGAATCTGGCGTACCGAAAGAGAGTGGAAGGACGGTTGACGGTGGAGGCGGCTTACCCGAAGGGCCCGTTCACCAACAGCCATGCGGGCTGCGCGATCATGCTGGGAAAAGGCAGGAACGTCGCACGTGGGGCTCTCCACCTGGGGCTGACAGGCGGGCGCTCACGCTGCACGTGCAAACAAGGGTATGATGGACGTGCTTCTCGGAGTCAGGTACTTCCCAGTGCAGCCGACATAAGCAGGCAAGCTCGGCGCATCCAAGCAGACAGTCAACTTGATGCAGAAGTGGTGGTGACAGATCCCACAGGAAATGCCACATCGCACGCTCCCTGTTTTCTTTGCGAGCGCCAGCGACGGGATTGACATCTCGCGTGCGGATGGTGACCCCCAGGGCGGGCTGGTACCAGAGAGAGACGAGCAGAAACAGGCGAAGGCATTTGGCAGTTAGTGGATGAGCAGTTCATGGCGGCCCCGTCGACGTCCTGAGCAGCACCTGGGCCGACCTTCAACGCGAGCGTTGGCACAAAAGGGCGGCCTGGGAGTTGCAGCACCATCGACTGTTTCTTTCTATTGCGCAGGGCTGCCCCCGAGAGGGCCGAGAGAACTCGTGCGAGGAGGGACGCAACGTGCGCGAGGCCAGGCCATACGAGGTACCTCCCCCCTGAGGATCACGCGCCGCTTCTCCTCGACCTGGCCTGCCACAGGTGCTCCCCGTGGATCCCGAGGGCGCCCCCATGGGCAGGCACCCGAAAAGGTGCAGCCCGACGGTGACGATGGCAGCGCGGCAGCGCGGCAGCGCACGGCCCGCCGAGGCCCCGCCTTCTGCAGGACGTGGCGACATGCCCCCCCCCCCCCCCCGTGGGAGGAGGCGGGGTATGGGGCATGAGTTTGAGGCGGGCGCCAGCTAACGCTTAGCTGAACAGTGTTTTGCGTGTCCGTGCACCCCCCAGAACACAGTGACCGGTTGCAGAACTTCATGATATGGGCAATCGTGCGCCTCGTGCTTCCAGGCCGAAGTCTCGAGTCCACGACGCCCCTTGGCGTCGCGTTGATGCCGCCCCGATTTGCCAGACCGCATATGCACAGATCGTCATAATATGTGTTTTAACTTTTGTTTAAATGACTCTCTCTGTAGTAATTGACCCACGTTGGAATTCAGGACGCGGCGAGTCTTGCGACGCTGGCGGGCGCGGGCGCGTATCACGGCTACTCTCAAGTCGGGCCCGTCCCTCCACAGGAGGAGCATATTCGAACATGGGTAACAGCTAGTCAGGGGACGATGTCTTGACCATCTTTGAGAATTTCGGGGGTATTTTTGGAGTATGTTCCATTTTTCCTGTAGGGGGACACGCCCGACTTAAGGCTACTCCGAGCTGCTGGAGGCGGTGGTGCTCAAGGCGGGCCTGCGAGCGCTCTGCCGCGGCGCCCCCCGGATTTCGGAGCAGCGCGACCCTGGGCGCAGAGCGACGGGCACTGTGCTGCAACAGCGAGTTGGGCCGGGGCTGGACCCAAGCGCCGCTTTGCTGGGCTTCGGCAGTGGTTTGGTTTTTCGTTTTGGCAGGGAGGTGCAGGAAAACGGGTAGAGCAAAACGAACAGCAAAACGACAACAACACGAAACACAACGTTTAGGTCCAGCCCTGAGCTGGACTACGGGAAGGCAGAAGGGAAACGAGCACGGAGGAGCAGGATGAGACCCAGGGGGGGCTGAAGGAGGCCTCGAACAAGCTACAGCACACGACGCGTGATGCTGACAGCTGGGCGGAAGGAGTCTTAGGCGGGGCAGGTGGAGGCTTGCTGGGAACATATGTGGCTTGCGGAGGCAGCGAACTACTCGAGGGACCTGCGGCCAGGTGCAGCTTCGGGGCGAAGCAGGGAGAGAAACGGGCGACGATTTGGACCACCACCGCTGGACAGCGAGGAGTGGATGGCGGCGTGGCAGCTCTCAGGACGACCTGGAGCCTGGGGCACCCGAGGGAGCGTGGTGGCCCGGCCGCGCGGCTGTGAGACTTGGGGGAGGAGGAGGAGCGAGGAGGAGGAGCGAGGAGGAGGAGCGAGGAGGAGGGGGAGGAGGAGGAGGAGCGAGGAGGAGGAGGAGGAGGAGGAGGAGGAGGAGAAAGAAGGAGGAGGAGGAGGAGGAAGGCGGAGGAGGAGGAGGGAGGAGGAGGAGGAGGAGGAGGAGGAGGAGGAGGCGGAAGAGGAGGAGGGGGAAGAGGCGTGGAAACTTTCAGGACGAGAGGGAGGTGCACGGGCAAGGGCGGTCTAGACATGGGCAGCGCGGCGGGCTCCTAGGGGCGGGCTGCAGGCACGACCGAGGAGCTGTCAGGCAAGGGTGTTGGACGTCAGGCAGTGGCGAAACGTCCTGGCTCGCCTATAGCCCTACCAAACAATGTTCTATTTCTGCGATGCGCGGATCCAATGTCTTGTGTGTGTAAGAACGATGGATCCATTTATTTCCCGGGAATATATATATATATATATATATATTTCCCGGGTATATATATATATATATATATATATATATATATATTTATCCGCATAATAGTTAACATCCGGGACCCAAGGGAAATGGGATCCGCAGAGCACCGCAAGTGAAACATCATGCTATCCACGGAGCTGTGGATCTGCAGACCAATGCTATGATTCTACGGGGGAGGGGGGTCTTCCCAGGATGAAGAGGTCGTGGCTTAACGACATGTTAGAGCATTTCTGACTGGGACCGTCTTGTTTTAACGCATCAGGTTCATGCTTCAAGAACCTTGTTTTTGTTAGGACTATAGGACTATAGGAATGGCGATACTACAGGAATAACATTGTTTTTGTTAGGACTATAAGACTGGGTTCTAAATACATTTCGTGGTAGGACCATAGGAATGCCGGGACGGTCGGTCCCTGCTCAATGGACGTGGCTCTTGCTACGTACGGCGCGCGCCGAAGCGCAAGGCAGTTGCCGAGGGCACAGTGCCTATTGAATTGTGGGGCCTGGTGCTCAACGCGGACATGGAGACGACGACGCAGATGAACGGAGTGGGATGTGCGGAGGAGGTCCCAACACAGGCCTTGTTCAGAAGCGGGATGTACCATGGTCTCCTGCTTGTCCGACGTGCGAGCCTTTCTCTGCTTGTTTGGCACAGGAACCGAGTGGTTGAATTGGACAGCCGAAGCGGCAAAGAAGCGGAAACAAAGGCAAGATAGTGATCCATTGTCTTGCGAGTTTGGGCAGGGCATGCTACGCGAAGCATCTCCGCTTTTCGCCGCTACAACGAGCTGTGGCTTCGTCAGCGGGAGGTGACACGAAGGAACTATCATGTCTTCACAGGTACTTAGCTGGCGGCTAATCAGGAGAGCTGGAGCTACGCGCTCACGACGAAGGACTTGCAGACTGCATTCGGCTCGGTGAGCTGAGAGGCGCTGGACAAGGGCTTTGAGGCGGAGGAGGGCTGGCGCGACGAGGAGCTTCGCAAGCAACGCTACAGGAATATAATTGTGGGCCTCGCGACGCACGGCGGCTCGTACACGATCGAGGTGGGCGACGGCATGATGATGAGTGGCCCGTTCAGCGTGGAGGTCTTTGCTCGGGCGCTCACGGGACCGACGCAGTGGTGGCGGCAGGCCACGGCGAGTTTTCTCAGTTGCGAGTGAGAGGGCTTGCCTGACATCGACCTCAGCTACCACCCGTACGCGTGCGACCTGAGCAAGCACCAGATTCTGGTGGTCGGCGCTGCGATGAGGGAGGTGGCGAGGAGACTCTGCGAGGCAGACGGCAAGCTGGAGACGGCGCTGGGTGAAGCAGGTGGTGAGCGTGATGGTGCAGGGGGCCGGCGCGACGGCGTGCAGGAAGTGGCTCCGCGAACGCGGGCAAGGAGCCGGGCGCGGATGTCGCCGAAGCAGCAAAGGCGAGCGTGGGCGACGCGGACTGGCTGGGGCAGCTGAGCAGGGCCCCGTGGAAACTGGAGGCGAACAGTGGCCTGGCAGAGAAGTTCGCGCCGCTGGACTTCGCGAGGGCGAGGGCGAGCAAGCTGACTGCGAGGGCCCCGCCGCCGCGGGAAGTTGCCTGGCCGGTGGAGCCGGGGGGGGCGAGGTGCAGGAGGACATCCATTTCCTGTCTCGTGTGTGGAGGCCCCCTGAGGGATGGCGGGCGCTGTCGGGCTCGCTTTGCCACTGGGGGCCAGCTTCCCCTCCGCCAGCGCGGCGCGCGCGATGTGCGCAACATGTGCCGGGTGGTGACCAAAAGCAATCGGCGCACGGTGCGCCGGAGGGTTTGCTCGGGGCAGCGAGCGACGGCGAATCGTCTCGAGAGTGGCCCCAGGGCGGCGCGCCAAACGCGAGAGTCGGGTCATGTGTCGACATCGCCCCCCCCCCCCGCGTTCGTCGTGCGACCTCTGCGAGTTTGAGGAGGCTGATAAAGGGGGTCTTTCATCAGTCACTCTGGCTCGAGTCGCTCGCCCTGGACAGTGCGAGCTTCTCCGCCGCTGGGAGCTGCGAGCAGTGGAGGGGGTCGACGTGCCGTCGTTGCCCAAGCGCGGGCTGGAGCAGACGGAACCGCCCTGGATCGGCGGAGACCAGGGGCGAACATGCGGAGCAGGAGAAGGGCGCGGCATGGCGGCAGGACAGGGCAAGGGCGGCGCAGCGGAGCTGAGCAAGGCGTCGGCGAGGCTGGCCATGTCGACGGCGCGGAGGGTGGCATCGCTCGAGGACGCAGTGTGCGACGCGGTGGTCGCGGCAGAGGGCCAGGGGGCGACGGCGCCCCTGGAGGGCGAGCTCGTCAGCGCTGGCGCGAAGTACGACAGGGAGAGCACGGGCATGAAGGATGAGGAGCAGGGTGGCGAGGAGGTGGACTTCAGGTCGATCATGGGGGCCCGCGCATCGGGCGTGTCACGAAGGCGGTCTACGGGGTGCTGGCGGCGAGCTTGCCACTGGGGTCGCTGCCAGCACTGGTGCTCCGCGAGATGCAGCGTGAGTTCTGGAAGGGCGTCGTGCTGAAAGGCGCGCCGAAGCAGAAGCGGCATGCGTGCAATCAGTTCCGCTATAGGAAGAGCAGGGCGACGGGGGCGCCGAAGTTCGGGGCCCTGGCGACGAGCTCCAGCGCCGCGATGGGGTGCAGGCGTGGTGATCGGAGGCCCGATGTGGGAATGCATCGAGAACTTGGAGAAGGCGGGGGCATGCGCCCGGAGGCCCGCTCGAGCGCGAAGCCTTCAGAGCCCGGCGGCGCTCGCGGTCTGGCGCAGGGCGACAGGCTTCGAGAGTTAATTGAGCAGATCTGTGCGCGCGAGTTTGCTCGTTAACAGATTTAAACATATCTGAATCCACTGCTGCCGCAGATCCCTGTGGCGATCCTGGCCAGAGCTAGTTCCAGTTATAGAGGAAAAGGAGGTGGTCGTGGAGGTCGTCGCGGGGCCGGGGGGGGGCAGGAGAAACGGCGGCGCCGGCCAGAAGTAGAGGGGGGGGCTCAGGCCACCTGCAGTCGGCTGGCTTGTTCCCTGCACCTCGGATGCCGTTGTGGGCCCGATGTCCAGGGGGTGGGGCAGGCGCTGTGGGCGGCAGCCCGCCTGGCTGCGTGCCATAGCGGTGGGCCGCCTTGTAGGGGGGTAGCGCGGGCCGCGCACCCGATGGTCTTATCGACCCCGTATAGAATCTGCTTCCCGATCGCTCACAAGCGATGCGACGCCGCCCCCGCCGTTTTCCGATCGAGGCCCGCGTTGACGCCTCCCGTGGAGCTGTCCGATTCGATTCGCTGGTGGTGGTGGTGGTGCAGCTGCTGATGATGAGGAGGACGAGGATGGCTGATAATGGTGGAAACGGTGACGAGGACTAGCTGATGGTAGTATTAGGGTGATGGCAATGGCACTGGTGATGATGCTGATGATGGTGGTGGCGATGATGCTGATAACGATGATGATGGTGACAATGCTAGTTATATGATGATGAGGACGATGATGATGATGATGCTTATGCTGCTGATGACGAGGATGATCATGAGACTGATGAGGAGGAGGATGGCCAGGGAGGTCGAACCACTTGCCGCACAATTCTCGCACTCTGCATCAACAATTGTGCAATTGCCGAACGCAGTGCATCTTGCTACACCAGGCTTCAACTATCGATCGGGTTCCAGTGGTGACCGCCCATGGCCAAGTTTCCAAGCCCGCCCATCCAGCACAGCCACTTTCCTTTGACCGCGCCATTGCGCGCCATAACAGACACCCTGCCACGTGTGAGTTCTCGACCGTGTTTTTTTCGGCCACGCCGACCGACACAACGCCATACTCCTCTTCTTTGTCCGCCTCCTCCTCCACTTTTTGTTGTTTCTCTCTCTCTGTCTCTTTCTCTCCTTTTCTCGCTCTTTGATGTTCATGGTATTGCTACTATCATGCCAACGCTTCCAGCCCCGTTGCGCGCGACCCTAGTTTATCTGCCGCTGCCGCTCTTCCTTCTCTTTGTCCACTTTATTGTTTGCCTAGGTCGCGATTTTGGCTCCAGCCAACCCCGCACGATTCAGGCCCCCAGTCTGCTCCATATGCACATTTTTGGTGATCGTATGGGCTGCTTCTGCTGTCAGATCCTTTTGCCATGCTAATGCTACGCGTTTCTTTGCGTGTTGTTTGTTTGTCCTCGTGACACGCACCCTCGGCCAAACATCGCAAGGAATCAACTCGCCAACGGAGCCGTCACATAACACCTAGGTGTGTATGTGTGTGTGTGTGTATGTATGTGTGTGCGTATGCGTGAGAGAGAGAGAGAGAGAGAGAGAGAGAGAGAGAGAGAGAGAACGTATGTGTGTGCGTGTGTGTGTGTGTGTGTGTATGTGTGTGTGCGTGCGTGCATGCGTGCGTGCGTGCGTGCGTGCGTGTGTGTATACAGGTGTTTGTTTGTTTGTGTGTGTGTGTGTGTCTGTGTGCGTGTGTGTGTGCGCGGGTGTCTGGGTCGGGAGACAGGGGGGAACATCTCCTTCCAGAGGTTTTTGGTTGGTAGTGCTTCCTTGCTCCGTTTTTTCCGTCTAGTTGTTCGATCATGCATCAGTTGGCTCGTTCGGTTTTTTCTGCACCCGCGCGGGTCGACCGACATGCCTGCTGCCCCCATCGCGGGCCACACGGCGTTCTCCATGCGCAGGCGCGCCGAAGGCACGACGCACAGCTCACCGACGCGGTGCTGCGACGGGGCCCGCGGGCGCAGACGCGCGCGCGCGCGACGCCGCGAAGGGACGCTGCACCACAGGGGCGCGCTCCGCGCGCTCGGCTTCTCGCCCCTCGACGCCGCGCGCCCACCATCCAAAAGGTCCCTCCCCCCGCGGGCCGAGAGTTCGGCAGCGGAGCGGGGCACGCCCAGCGGCGCGAGGGGCCCTGCCTCACCGCCATCGAGCAGCTGCACGACCGGTCCGCTCCGCCGACCGCAGGGTGCCTCCGATCCCGTGGGGCTGCAGCCTCTCCGTGCGGGCTCCCCCTCCTGCCGCGAGGGGGGACCTCGACGAGGCGTCGCGGGAATGCAGAGGGAGCGTGCTCTCCGCCGCGCTGGCTCCCGAGGGCTTCGGCTTCGAGCTATTCCGTGCAGCGGCGTCCTTGGCCATCGTTGCTGTTGCGTTGGCCATCTCAGCGGGCATGGACAGCATGTCCGTGAGCCTGATCCGGCATGAATTGGAGGGACGATGGCATCACCAGGGGCTAGCCAGGTCTTCATTGCACGTGTGGTGCGGGGGTGCTCGGACTTCGGACATCCTTCGGCAGACCCCCACATGCAGATTGAAGCCTGACGATTTTTCGCAGGATCTGTGGAGAAGCTATGTCCCACCCCCTTGTGGCCCAGCAAGAACAATGCCAGCAGTGTGTCCAGGCCCCACAGCCCATCGACTTCAGAGCGCCGCACTCGTTTTGCAGAGCCCACTTCCCGGGGTCCTGGAATAACGGAGTCCGCGTCCAGAGCGTCACCAGGCCACGACCCACCCGCGTGGGCAGCGTCCACTTGCCGAAGTTGTCCGAGCCTCTTAGCGTGCACGCCTCCCCCCCATCAGAGTGCACGCGAGGGTTGGCGCTCGCTGATGCAGGGGACACCGCCCAGCCGGTGCCTGATGAGCGGGAGGCGACGATCGAGCAGACGCTCTCGACGACCACACAGTCTTTACTCACGTTGAGCTCAGCAGCTCGCTTCGCGCTGGAGATCCGCTCGCGCCACCTGTTCGCCCCTCCTCTCTCTGCTCCTCGTGCGTCGAAGGTGCTCAGGTGCAGCTTGCGTCCGAGGCCAGGGCCGCGCAGGCGGCCCAGCAGGCCGCACCTCGGCAACGCCGACCCACGCCCTCGCTGCTTGCGAGGAGCCCAACGGAGAACAACAACAAACAAGTCCTCTCCCTCCCTGCCTTTCTCCTTCGGCGCTCCTCGAGTCTCGCGCTGGCCTCCCCCCCCGCCTGCGAGGCCCCCCCTGACAAACCTCGCCCAGGCAGCCGCAAGCAGGCGGCCTGTGGGCTCGCAAAGGGAAGCCGCCTCGGCAGGCCGTTCCCGAATGTGGTGAACCTGTCGGCATCCTCACTGCTCGGGCCACTCAGGAAAACGGGGCCGTCTTCACCGAGGTTGGCGCGCAAGCTGACCGCGCAAGGTCGCGGGGCAGCGCCCCCTTCTCCACTGCGGCGTGCCGCGCTGGCGGGCCCGCGCAAGCAGCGGCGCAAGGTCGCCACACCTCATCGCGTGAGGCCCTTCCCTCGTCGTCGATTTGCGCATTCCATGCCCCTCGAGCGCCACCTGTGCCCTGCGCTCCGCGCTCCGCCTGGTGTAGCACGCGTCCGCCACTGCCACCGCCGCGCCCGCCACTGCCGCGAGCCCTCCCCGCCTCTCCTCGCTGTTCCCCGCCGGGCTCGGGCGCAGGCTCGGGCGGCGGGCTCGGGCTCGGGCTCGGGCTCGGGCGGCGGGCGCGGGCTCGGGCTCGAGGGGGCGGAGGAGGAGGATGAGGAGGGGAAGGAGCGAAGAGGAGCAAGGAGGAGGAGGAGGAGGAGGAGGGAGGAGGAGGAGGAGGAGGAAGGAGGAGGAGGAGGAGGAGGAGGAGGAGG